GGGGAGTTGGAAAATGAGCCTATTTTCAAAAATAGTGGAGTGTTCCTTTAATGGACAGATCGTTAATGGCTGGTCGATGTGGTAATAAAGTACATCGGGCAGGACATCCAAATGCCCACCTATCATTCATCGACCTCAAATATGGCTTTTCATCTGAAAGATATATGTAGTAACAACTTTACATGGCTGCTCAATCTAATGTTAACCTAGAGAAATGTGCGCTATTCAAGTGTTTGTGTGTAAACTGAACAGTAGCGCTCACTGCAGGACAGATGGAGGCGCCGGTGCACTCACTTGCTCTTAAAATATTCTGTAATTTTTGGTCATACAGATAAAAATCTTTTGAATCTGTAAAGACTCTACAAACAGGATGCGCTTTCTGCTATCTCGGTCATGTGAACTTGAACGAGAAACTTCAAATCTCTGTGTATGAAAAATATATCTACAGAGAGTGAAATTTAATAAAGAAACATGAAATTTAATGTGTGTGCAATGCACACTGTGCATTGTTTAAGCTGGCTTTCAGTTCAATAAAATAACAAAAAACTACATTTTGGATTTTTATTCCACTAAAGTGGGCATGCTGTGATCTGTACTGTATTTTTACTGTAACTGACATATTCTGGCCAAAAAACACAACACGGGAGTGGGAGGGAATGGGAGTCATTCTTCTGGGAATGGGACGGGATGGGATTTTCCCCAAGTTTTTTCGTGGGATTAGGACAGGACGGGATTTTTTTTGTGGGAGTGGGATGGGAGAGGTTTGAAAATCCCCTCCCATGTCACCCTCTACTGCAAATACACACAACCCAACAAAATACAGAAACATGCTGCAAATAAACACAGACCACATCGGAAATGTTTAAGGGAACCGCAACAAGTGACAAACCTGGAGGGACACGCTAATCAACGTCTACTCTAAAAAGGTGATATTTTAACATCCTGATCATATGATTCCTTAGGTTTTTTGAGGTTAATGAGGTTTAATTCTCCGTAATTCCAGAGGGTGCTAGCTAGTGTTAATCACTGAAAATTCAACACCAGAACTTTAACTCTTTACTCTAAAGCCCCGTTCACACCAAGAACGATAACTATAAGGATAACGATATTAGCGTCCACACCAGTGAACAATATCATCTGTTTATTTTAAGCGCACGCTCGTCTGCCACTTTAAATTCTCCAGCTCGTTACAGCAGGATGGATTCTGATTGGCTGTCAATTTTTTATCGTTCATCAGCTGGAGAAAAGTCTTTTGAAAGAGATTCCAACGATATCGTTTCACTTTGTCTTTATCGTTATAGTTGTGGTGTGGACTCTACTATTCTTTAATATTGAGAACGATTTTTAGAACTATATCTTTATCGTTATCTTTATAGTTATCGTCCTTGATGTGAACGGGCCTTAAGAGTCCTTAACACCAGGATTTCAACACTGGAGATTTTACTGTGCATGGTTTATTTTCGCAAGGGTTGTTGGGGTCCCCTTGAAACAATTCCTTTTTTGTCTGTGCTACTTGGAATGCTTTTCTGTATTTGGTTGTCTTGTGAGTATTTGCTGCGCGTTTCTGTATTTGGTTGTGTTGCGTATTTGCAGTTTCTGTATTTTGAGTATCTGTAGCACATGTTGTCAAACTGATGAAGATTTAATTTGCTGGTGTTTTATCTATTTGCTTGTGTTTTCTTAAGCTGCAGCGCATTAAGCTCTCACGACCACCGTACAATACATATTTTAACGCAAAAATTAGTTTAAGATTAAACCAGGGAGTTTAACCATTAAACTATTTAACCATTAAACTAAAGTACACCATTAGTTTAAGAATTTAATGGATGGCTGTATCAGCGTATCACACTGTGACAGAGTTTTACATAATGCATAGTTTTACATAATCATGCAAAGTGCTGAAGATTAAAATCAAAGACAGAATAAAAGAATCAAAAGCACCAAAATAAAAAAGATAATTAAAGAGGAATAAAATACTGATTAAAAACACACATTTAAATTAGAAAATGCAAAGATTAACGGAGAATTACAAATATAAAACACTTAAAATGAACACCATATGTTCCCTTTGTATATATCATGTTGTCCAGTAGGTGGAGGTTAAACAATAACAATTGTTTATTTCTGTAAAATTCTGTAAAAATCGTTCTCTTCACTCAGTTCACTCAGAATGGCCAGTTGCAAAGTATGATGTTCCAGCCTGGTCTCATGTTTATACGTAGGTATTAATACGTAACATTTACAAGCACAAAGCGTACACTTTTGTAAGTTTTTATTAATGCTAAAACGTACAATTTAGTCGTATTTCAACGTTTAAAACGTACAAATCGCTACGTATTTTTAGCTAAAAAACGTAAAAATATTTACGTATCTTTTATATCATCAAGATATTCGTATCAATGCATTTTTATCATTTTATTGTACGTTTAAATGCTGAAAATACGTAAGTATTGTACGTTTAGAGGCTGAAAATACGTCAGTGTTGTACGTTTTAGTGCCTGTAAAAACGTACGTAAATGTACGTTTTATAGAACCACATTTTACGTAAAATACATACGAATTATCATGATATCACGTTGGACTGGTACAATGGTCACATTCACACAAGAAGTACACTAAAAGGTAATAAAGATTCTAAGGGTTTCGAGATATTTTGTTTACTGCAGCGGGTGTGCCCTTTCCTGGATATCTAGCCAATTGGGTGGACCTTACACTGTGTCCACAGTCTTACACTTAAGAGTGTGTCCGACTGGTTTAGAACTAGTCTGACCAACTAGCAGTTAATCAATTCTTAATCAGTCTTTCTTCTCAAATTCAAATTAGATCAATCTACTATTTTATGTAACTGTCTTATGACTAATCTTATGACTTTAGATTGGACCAGTCTTGACTAACTTGTAAGGCAAGTCTGAGCAGTTTATGTAACCAGCCACAGGAAGACAATGAAGTTCTTAAAATAATTTTCCATACATATACAGTAAAACAATAAATACCATCCATGTATAAATTAATATAATGATTACTGGTCATAAGTCCTTATTCTGCCATTCACCATCTCTGTTACTTTGAAAAGCAGTGTTCACTTTTGTGTTGTAGAAAACAAATACATACTTGTAGTTTCAGTTTTGTTTCTCGTGAATTGAGATTTTAGCTACAGTATAAATATTCAGTGGCTAATAAGAAAGCAAAGCATCCTTCCTACGAGATCTCTGTGAGGAAACAGACATGGTATCACTGTGGAACAGTTCTTTACTGAAGAAAACAAGTGATCTTCATGGCGACACTTGGAACATTGAAATTGATGAGACGATTGTGGAAAACAGTCCAGCTCTTAATTGGTACCAGTACATTTCTGGCTCCTTCGCAGAGTAAGTACACAAATTTACCACAGTAAAAGATATCAAACATTTACTTTCCACACTGTGTGTTTTAATTGCATTAATATTTAGGATGTATGCATTAATCTTTGTTAATGTTAGTTAATACAATTGCTCATTATTGGTTAATGTTAGCTCAAGTTTGTTAAATAATAATAACAGATACAACTTTTTGATTTTTAAAATGTATAGCAAATGTTGATATTAACTGAGATTAAAATAAGCATATTTCATTGTTAGTTCATGTTAACAAATGGTACCTTATTGTAAAGTGTTTCTATAAACTCATGGTTTTTTAAACAGACAATTTAGTTAAGCCATCAGCTAAAATAGGCTGCTTATTGAATTTTTATGATATTTTGATGGTTCCCTACGTTAAAACTTTTTAAAATGAAATTTAAGGAAGTACAGGATCCAGAAATCTACACATACACATAAACACATAAATCTCACAACTATTTTGTTACTGTTAAAGTGCTACTACAGTATATACAGTATATGTTATCAGTTATACTATATAAATGTTATCAGTTATACTAAATAAAATACCACCAACCTGCCAAATACCACCAAACAAAATAAAAAATAAAAAATTAATTAATCATTAAATCATCATACACACTAATGACTGGACCTGGAAGTATCAGTAGATGCTTAAACTGTTTTATTCTCCATTTCGACTGTAGGTTCAGGTGTTCTCTTTGTACAAGAACCTGGGGGTCTAGTAGAGTGCAGGTGCTGTTTCATTTCCACCTGAACACTGCAAGCAGACAGGGAACCATTAAACTGCGATTCTACAAACAGGAGTGTAAGACGTGCAGTGAACCGCAGTGGGAGGATGCAGATTTCTCAGTGAACAACACTGATGTGCTGGTTGAGAGACTAGTCAAAAAGATCCGCATGAGATGCTATGGAGAAGACCTGGGTGAAGCAAACAGATCCTCAGTGTTTGATGGCAGATTTAATGGGCCGCATGAAAGTGCTCACTGTGAAGCCTGTCGGCTTGGTATTTGCAGCCAGGCCAACTGAGATTGATTTCATTGTTCTGCTCTATAAGTGGCTATATTATTGAAAATATTTGTAATATTGTACAAAAAAAAATGTATAAAATGTATTAAAAGATGTATTGGGTATGTGTGTGGAATGGATTGACAGCAAATTTCTTGACTTTTACTCTTTGTTGATCGACTATTGTTCCTTACAAAGTTTTAATCTTTAACTTTTACTGAGTGTACAAATTCACTGCAGCCCTGCTTAATGTAAAACAGCACGCTAACACAGAAACCGCCATATTTTTATTGTGACTTTTACATCACACATATTGTGCTTTGAATGTTGTTTCTTCTGTATTCTGGGATTATGAAATAAATGGAAATGGTGTGGTCCAATGTCTCTGTTGGTTTTAGTTTGTCTAAGCAAATCAGTTTTTGTATATAGTTTGTCTGAGGGTCCATTTCAATCACATTGATCATGAACTGTGAGGTAAAAGCTTAGATATTTTTTATAAAATTTTTACTGTAATCTGCCTTCTTATTCTTCGGATGATGCTTTAGTTTTGTTCTCAAGACCACAGGTAAGACATAGTCATGAAATACTAATGCAATAGTTAAAGTTTATAGCATTGTTTAGTGTTGTTGTAGTGACTTGCAGGTTTATTAAAGTATATATTGCAGTGCCTGTTAACACCATTATCACAGGCTGCTGGATTCACAGCTATTCTTCCACATTTCCAGCTCGTTATCTGCTGTCTCATCATGCAGTGTAAGAAAAAAATTACATTTTCAATAAAAATGTCAAGTTCATAGACTTTATGTAAGAACCAACAATAGTTTTTTGTGTATATTACAGTAGTATGTTGCAATTTGATTCATGACTTAATGTTTTTATTTGTATTAATGTAGTCAACATTCATGATTATCATAATTAATGTTTACAACTTTATTAATAATATACATATATGTATAAATAATGCTCAAATAATAACATTCGCCATTTACATTATTAACGCGTCCCTCCCGAACCTATAACAAAAGTGTCCCTCGCAGGTCAAAATGACCCGAAGGCCAAAAATTACACTTTTTTTTTTTTTTGGTCCAGAAAGCTTATATTGGTCCATTTTTATTTAAAAAATTCACATTTTTTATGTAGGTTTTTTTATTATTTTTTGGTGATTTATTTTATTCACATTAAATTCTGGATATTTTTATGAAAATGAGCATATTTTTATACATTTTTTCACCAAAAAAAAAACAAAGAAAGACACAATTTCAGCATATTTATACTTTAAACATAATGATCCATCAGGACCTAGGTCACTGAGTGTCTCTGATACCATCTGGTGAGGAAAAAAAATGCAATAAAAAAAATTGCATTTTTTCATTTCAGCCACTAGAGGGGCCTATTGAATCCTATGGGGATTCTTAAATGAGCCAAACAAGTGAAATCTTTACAATTACACCAACTTGAGGCTTCATTAAGCTTTCAGATATATATCTATATATATATATCAAAACATTAAAAAAACTATATTTTGTAAAAAAAAAAATTTAAAAAAATGAATTTGATACTGAATTTTAATCCAAACACATGCATATTCATACAGTTTCAAAAATATGTAATAAATATAAAAGATAAATTTAAAAATATAAATGATATAAACTCATTGGTCTCCACCCCATCACTCAAATTTAACTGTGGGACATTCTGCAGTCTCAGTTACACGTACATATTAGGTGTGTTCGACTTAAATGCAGCGTGGCTCAGACCGATCAGTGTTTGACATCAAAGTATCTCGAGAGCGTTTTGAAAGCATAAGGAACCGTCTGTATGGTACTTTGATGGCATAAACCGATCGGTCTGCAAACGCAAAAAAAGGCCAAAACCTAGATATTTTAGGTAATATAAAAAATCCTGGCCAGGATGCGTCCGGGGAAAAATGGCACGTATGGTCACCCTAGCCACCAGGCCAAGGAGCGCAGAGCCCATCAGACTTGGAACCACCTGGCCAAGCAGCGCAGAGCCCATCAGACTTGGAACCACCAGGCCAAGGAGCACAGAGACCATCAGACTTGGAACCACCAGGCCAAGGAGCACAGAGACCATCAGACTTGGAACCACCAGGCCAAGGAGCACAGAGAACAGTGGACTTGGGATCACCATAAGAATGCCCTGTCAGCACACAGAACAAATCTGTGTAGGCCTCAATAGTATAGTGACCTTGCCAGAGGCCCACTAGATCTGCTGGATATATGTTTGGTCAGGTCTTCTGTAATGTGCTGGTTAATTAATTGGCAATCATCTATAAATGTACTGATAATGACATTTTGTGTGTTTGTAGTTTTGGAATCTTGAAGGCTTGAGCTGGAATCCTGATAAATGTGGAACAGACAGAATTTCAATACCACGAAAACAACTGTGGAGGCCTGATATTATCATCAATGAATTGTGAGTTTAAAAGGATCTATATTTCTGAATTCTGTGATTAACTGACTATACAGTAATTATCCACTTTTAATGTATTGCTGCAAACTTTATTATACATTTCATAAAATGTCTCGGGCCTTTCAGGTGTTAGGTTTTTGGAAACTTATTTTTTTACAATTTAAAATGTTTAGCTTTATATGGTTACTAAAAGAACATAACACCCATACCTTTTTTATTTTGAAGCATTGATGAAAATAAAGTCCCAGACACATATTACCTCTACATTGAATATACTGGTAAGGTAATGGATGATCTTCCATTTCATGTCATCAGTTCTTGTAGCCTGGACATCTACAGCTTTCCATTCGATATTCAAATCTGCACATTCACTTTTAATTCATACCAGCACTCTGGAAATTTATCTTTACTGAAGAGTAAAATTTAACTTATAATAACTACCTTTCAGTTTGTATGACCCTAATAACTCTCATTTGTTTGGTCTTCTCTGTAGTGCTGGATGTTCAATTGTCCTTTGCTAAACCAGTGGAGGAAGCATTCAAAGATTCTCTTGAAGTGACATCTAAAGGAGAGTGAGAGCTGGTCGATATGCTTGCCCAAAAACCTACGATACCTCCCCAGCACATGAATAACTCCCGGGATATGCTTACTTATTATGTATTGTATATATTATGTACTTATTATGTAAATAAAAATAAAAAACATACTCTCAAGGCAATTCCTAACTATTTTAGTGTATGGCGAATTGGCGGCAAATTTGTATGAATTTTTGTACAATCTCCACTGAGATTAGGTTTAGGGATGGATAACTTCATTATTAGGTTTTTTTTTCTTTTTCTAAACATTGTATGTTTTTATACCAATCAAATTGTATGAAGTCATACAAAATCGCAAAAAGATTGATGAGCCTCATCTGAAAAAGTTTATAAAGACTTTTAAATAGATGGCTTAGAATCAGAACAGTCAAAACAGGCTGAAGGTTTGTGCCGAGTTATTTTTTTTATATACTAAATGTTTAAATATTTACTTCTTAAAGGAGAACAAGAATAAGCTTCAATAGAATTTCAGTATATCTTTGCTTTGGCAAGACAACATAACGTGTATATTTTGTCTGTATTAACAAGTCTTTGTTAATTTTTTAGTTAAATGAATCACACTCTGATTCTGATCTGTAGATCTGTTCAGCTTTCTTCTGCCACCCCAGAATGTGGATCGTTCTGCCTTCAAAATGACTCTGATTTTGGGTTATACTGTATTCCTGCTGCTAATGAACGACCTGCTGCCAGTCACAGGAAACAACTTACCTCTCATAAGTTTGTATAGAAGTTTCATTATAACATTAAAGTACTTGTGTCCTCTCCAATCCATACATCAACATCATTAAATGTGTTATTTTTTAAATATTAAAATATTTCCTGGTGTCACAGATTGAGTCAACTATAAGACATTATTTATTTATATTACTGATATAAGTGTTAAATATTAAGACATAAAAATATATTAACTTAAAATGTATATATATAAAATGAATGAAGCAGTATCTGTGTTTTTTCAGATGCATTTTTCTCCCTCTGTTTGGCACTGATGGTGGCCAGTCTTCTGGAGACAATCCTTATCATAAATATTCAGTGTGGCTCCACTCACTATGGACCTTTACCTCGATGGGCCAAAGTGCTTTCCCTAAATCCACCTTGCTAAACTTGTTTGTTTAAGCAAGAAACCCAGTGACCAAAACTGTGACCCTGAAGGTGAGCCTTGCCATGTGAAACCATGCAGTATTTTTGCTCCTTCTCCGGGTCACAGGACAGAGAAGAAAAAAAAGGATCTCAAAATTTAGAATTTTATCAAATCTGAATTTTTAACACACAATTTGGAATATAAACTCAAAATAAGTATAAAAAAAATAAATTTAAAAAAAGTCTAAATAGTGAGATAAAAAGTCACAATTACCCTTTTTATTCCTCGTAAGAAAGAAACAGAAATTGTGACTTTTATGTTACTTTTATCTTACTTTTTTCACATTTGCAAGTTTATATCTCACTCTTTGGATTTTTCTTTTTCAAATGTGCATGTTTAGCCTTTATTTTGCAATTGCAAGTTAACATCTTGAAATTCTGACTTTTTTCTCAGAATTATAAATTAATGAATTGTGAGATATAAACTCAGAATTGCAAGGGCAAAAAGTCAGAATTGTGAGATAAAAATGAGCAATTACCTTTTTTTTTTTTTATTCCATGGCAGAAATAAGCTTCTATACCTGATCCATCAGTTGTGGAATACTTTGCAATAATAAATCTCTGACTGTATATTAATACTGTACATTAATACTGCAACAAAACTGAAAATGAAAGATGCCAACAGCTGTGTTTCTATACGAAAAAATCAGCAATTGATCAGTGTTTCCATGAATAACTGAATGCTGCATCTGGCCAATCAGAATGAAGCATTCAGAGTGCTATGTAATAATACATTTATTTCAACAACTTCTACGCTGTGATCCTGCTTGTGAAACCCCTCCGAGCGAAGCGACACATAAGACACCTACTCTTCT